TGATCACACTCTAGAACCCCAATACCCGTATCTACCTAGGTGCCGAAGCTCAAGAAAGGCGAAGGGTTCCTTCTAGAATTTGGCAGAGGGACGGGGGTCCAGGTTGTTATTCCAGAACAGCAAGCTCGCGACAGTGCAATATGATTGAATTGAGCAATCAGGCGTCATGGAGTCGATGTAGCTAAACACTATGACACCTGACGACCGATTGCACTTGTTTTCGCACAAAGAAGTTCCAGTGTCGAGAGGACGGTTGTGCCTTGCCTATGTTTTGATAGCAGCAGTGATCTTTTGCTGCATGGTCTGAATGTCTGTCTTGAGCTCGCTCTTTGTCTGGTCGATCGTGGCCTCGAGCTGGTCGATCTTGGCCTCGAGCTCGCTCTTTGTCTCGTCGATCTTGGCATCGGTCTTTGCAGTCTCATTCTTCAGCTCGTCGATGTTGTTACGCAGATCCGAGATCGATGCATAGACGTTTCTATAAGGGGTCCATATCACAAAAACCGGAACAGACTTCAGTTTTGCGCGGCCACCCAGTCTGTGCAGCCCCGCTGCTGTAACATCGACTAACTCGAACTCTAGGGCACCTTATCCGTTTATGCACACCAGGAAGCAACCTGGCTGTTGGATTTCCTACGGACCAAAGTGCATTGCTCCTTCTAGCTGCCATAGCTTGTTCGGCAAACTCGCAGGTGTCTGCGCGATCTCCGCCAGAACAACTGACGGTGAGGTCTTCCCAACGGCTTGCGACACCAGAGAGGCTGGCATTCTTGAAGCAAGTGCGTCTGAAGAGGGTTGCCACGTGCATTGGAGGAGCATCTTTCTTCAAGTACAGGTCGCATTGGGGATTTGATGCCTGGGCAGCACCACGGGCGCCCTTTTTCTTGCCTTTTCCTTTCCTGCCCGTGTTCCAATAGAGCCCAAGTTGGGTAACGAAGCCTATCTCGAAAGCACTCTTTGCAGACCTGCACCTCATCTTCCGTAGCTTGGATTTCGTACAACGGCAGCCGCTGGAGGTTATCACCCCCGTCGAAGGCTGCATACAATTGTTTCTCGAATTCTTCTGTTGTATGTGTTTCTTTGACAAGTTGATGTCTTGCACTGATCTCCAAGAAGCCGCGTGATAAGGCATCCGTTGCCGTCGCAAAACACATCTGCTCGAACCCATTGCAAAGCTCTGGCATGGAATGGAACGCTTGTAGCATGCCAGAAACAGCAAAACCATGCAGAACCACACCTGTCCGACTCCGGACCGTCGCGAAACTACAGCTGTGGGTGGTTTTGCTATGCATAAACTGGCTGCGCACCGTTCTCACCTGCATCTTGCGTGCGCTACAAAGCTGTAAACAGATCGGAAGACGTGCGTAACACACGGAAATACCGTGGCAGTGTAAAGCCTGACACTTGGTCTACATGCGAATCAACTCACACATTGATTCGAAACATATCCGCTCCCACGTGCATTGCAAAATAGCTGTTATCAAGCGCTTATGCCAAATTTATAAAAGTCAAATGATATAGGCCTATTGCAGGTCAAAGACGTAGAGGGGCCTGCAGACAGCAATGGGCCGTAGCCATTCATGCGCTGGGGCGCTTCCAATCAATAGCATTGACGACGAGGGCTTTGAGTTATGATCATTGTTGTTACATTTGTTATTTGTATGCATGTTTAGGATTCAAGGCCCAGGCTGAACCTGCAGCCCTCGACTTCGCACCTCTGAAGCTGCAACCTAGATATCCTAACACCAGACAGGTTCAGGGGTTTGGGGTGGTGCCAGGGTTTGGAGAGCAGGTAAGGATAATAAGAACACTAACAACGATAGTACTAATAATGACAATAAGAGTACCAATAACAAAAAATCATCATCATCATCATACTCATAACTATACTAAGGGTTTGTGTGGGATCTACTGAAAATCTTGAGAGCCCCGCTCGGATTCCTGTTGGCAGCAACGGCAGATACCTGCTCACATGGGTTTGGAGAGCTGAGGACGGTATCAGGGGAAGTTGTTCTTGAGGGCTTCGCGTAGAGGGTTTGTGGAGTTCGCGGCTGTGGACTTTAGACATCGGCCTCCGCGCTTTACGGGTTTGGCAGTTTCAAGTTGAAGGCCACTTCCAGTTGAGGTATCAAGGTTTGTAAGCATAGTGGCCTAGAGCCCAACATGCGGTTTTGAAGGGGGGTATGATATAAACGTATTAGGGAAGCCTCAAGATACAAACGCATCAGGGAAGCCTCAGAATACTAGAGTCTGATAATTCGGACTTGTTTATTCAAAATCGGTTCTTGGAGCCGGAAGCTCTGATGTCTCGAACGACCCACTGCTATCTCGAACCTTCCTGCGAACTACTGTGCGCAATCCACCCAAAGCCCTAAACCCTACGATCCGAAGCCCTAATGTAGAACACCACGCAAAGCCGACATGTGCCGCCCACATCTGTTGAAGCATTCTTAAGTTCCATCAACGTAGAGCCTCTGCAACCCTTTCCAGCCCTGTGTGAACCGTCCATGTAAGGCCAGCGGAGGAGCTAAAAACAACAAATTTAGACCCAAGAGAAGCCTCTTACTACCCCAAATCAAAGAATCAATGTAGGCCCAAATCGCATATTGCTGATCCCTGAATCACAGGACCCCTACAAGGCCCTTGCCTGGTGATACTGCCAGGAGAGGACCTGAAGTTCGTCAAGAAGTCAGAGTGGCAAAAACCAAGTCATGCGCCACGGGGTTTCAAGGTATTCAAGGTGTTACAGGTTTTATGGTCTCAAGGTTTGGAGGCTTTGGGGCTAAAGCTTTCGGGGTTTGAATTTCATAAGGGGTTTAGGTCGAAGGTCTTAGTCTAAGGTTTAGGATTTACTGTTCAGGATGTATGGCGGAGTTTGGGGAGGCTTGGGGTTTGGCTTAAGCTTTCAAGACCGATGCATTGGGCTTCAGGGTTTCACGATTTACTTCTCAGATTTTAGGTTTAGGGCCAGGGAGCCGGGGGGGGGGGGGGGGGGGTGATTGGCAAGAACGCCCAACCATGTCCGACCAAAATCCTGCACCCGAAACCCTAAAGCCCAAACAGTCCAAATCTTAAGGCCCACAGCCCTAAACCCCAATCCGCAACCCCTGAACCCAAACAGATCTCAACATATCTCAACCCTAACCCCACAAACCCTAAAACCGTAAACGCTCTGAAGGGCTGCAGCTGTCAGAGGCCAAAATCTCACCGGAATCCTCATAGGACGCCAAGAGGAATCTTATCAAGTCTGAAGGTAGGGTTTTGGGGCCACAAGAAAACCTATGATCCCCTCAGATCAAGGCACTTGGAGGACTGACAAACTGTGTTGTAGGACTTCGGGCTCTGCCCCCTCAGGCACTCAGAGGCAAGTACTGAGGCAAACAGTATATGTTTATATGCATGTACACACACACATATATATATAGATATATACAAACATACAAACATAAAATACATATATACGTATATACATGTTGACATGTATACATATATCATACATTGCGTACATTGCATACCTACCTACCTACCTACCTACCTACCTACCTACCTACCTACCTAGCTACCTATACATACATACATACATACATATATACATAGTACATCCAAACATACATACATCCATCCATACATACATAAATACATACATACATACATACATACATACATACATAAATACATACATACACACATACACA